ATCCTCTCTAGTAGCAGTATTTGGCTCATGTTACCACAGTAGCGAATACCGGAATTTTTTGGTTTTATTTGCATTACAATGACATCAAGGAATACCTGTAATGGGAAGCAGTCCCTGCCCCCACAGCCTGCCTTTCCCTTAAATGAGACCAAGGATGAAGGGATGTCCTTTGGTCAGGTGAAGTGACTTGTTCGGAGTGCGGCCAGCTGGGAAGCAGGAGTGGAACCCCACTGTCAGGCTCCGCACCGCCGTGCTGGCAGGCGATCCTGCCTGGCCGGGGTGAGCAGACAGGGACGGCTCCGGTTCGTGTGTGGTGCTCGATACCGATTCCGGCAGGGAAAGGGGGTGGCCATGGAGTGGGGGGTGTCTTTTGGACAGAGCAGCTCTAAGAAAACTGAACAACTGGAGGCAGCTGGCTGCAATTTTTCAGATCCTCAGGAAAGTAAGATTTTGTGTTAAGCAGCTGCCACAGACGCTTAAGAGGGAGCTGTTACCAACAGTAATGACTGAGGGATTGATATTAGAAAGCAGATGTGTCAGACTACGGAGTCTGTTAAAGATGTGCTCCCTGTCAATGCGACCCCGCTGAAGGGCTCTTGGCAGCTGTCTAGCCCTGCAGGATCTCTGAATCTCAATGAGATACCATGTGTGAAAGGAAAGAGGGTTAGTGTTGAAATCGCCAGCATCAGAACAATTAAACCAGAGCTGCTGGAGCTGAAAGATTTTTGTGCTTTCTCCATGGTTTTGCTTTCCTCTGACCCAACAGCCTGCCTTTGTGAGTGACTCATTAAGAGGTGGGCCATGGCGGAAGGGAGAACAGGGACCAAGAGTGAATAAGAAACAGTATTTGGACAGAGGAAATTTTGTGGTGAGGAGGTAGAGGTGCTGTGAGGGGCTTGTGTTTTTGATCCTGGGAGAGAATCCATGACTGGACCCCACAAAGAAAGGTAGTTAATCATCTCTCAGTAAAATAAGAGTGGGATCAGGACAAGAACAACTGTAAAGTACAACACCAGAAATACAAGAGCCAAGGAGCGGAGCTTGAGTTCAAACTGGGGGAGTCTGAAGGGAACAAACACCAAGCCTGGGACCTCTGGCAAAACTTCCTGTTGTGGAAATGGACAACATCCTCCTGATCCTAAGAACTGTGCCTGGCAAGGGGATTCAGGTGGGGAAGGAATTGTCTGAGCACGCCTGGAATTGGGATGTCTGTTTAGTGATTTCAGAATCAAATTCCCTCCACGTCAGAAGAAAGCTTTGTGATTACAAGCTCTTCCACAGGCAGAACTTTAAAAAAAAAAAGGGGGGGGGGAAACAAAAGTAATTTGCAAGTACTAAAATATTTAGTGATATTAGAACATTCAGTAATACAAATCCCCATTAGCTACCAAGCTGTATGTGTATAGTTACTATTGATTGAATGGGAAAATAGAAGCAAACTGAAAGCTAGATGCTAACCGAAGCATTTGTGTTTTGTTAAAGTAGTTACTAATGAGTATTATTCAAACCGTTCTTATAAATAACACATTCAACATTAGCAGTGTTTCTGAAAAATGCTTTGGTTTTGACCAGATTTCTTTTTTGATGGGAAGGGATTCCACTGCCAGTTTTTCAATTTGCCATACTAATAAAGCCATTTACCGTAGAGTTTAGTCCCAGGCTTCTCTATGGTTTGCTTTGCTTAGTTTAATCAACAGCCACTTTGGCCACCAGTGAGTTCAGAGTTCAGATCAACAATGCAGGAAATGGAAGGCCTGAAGTGTGCAGCCAAAGAGACCCACAGACCAGATAGCACCCGACCAGGACTCCCTATACATCACTGTTTATTGCCTCTGAGCACAGAGTATCGCCTGGGATTGCACATGGAGCTTACTATTTAAGCGACTTCATATAAGAAAACTTTGGAGGCCCTTTAAGCCCTTGGCATCTTACTGAATGAGAGACGTAAGAGCTGCAAGGATTTTCACGGTCATTTCAGTCTATGGAATTTCTTTGGAAGTTATCAAAAAGAAGGCCAATGTGTGTTAGTGTCTGGGTGATCACTGAGGTTTCAGCTGGAGATGGCTAAAGGCGCTTGGTGCAGATGTGAAGCCTTGTAAAACATTAAATGATCAGGCAACAACTCCTAGGGTTTGGATGGGGGGGGGGGAATTTACGCTTCAGATATATTTGCTATATTTCCAACATAGGAGTGTGCCATGCTGAAATCATCTGCTAGGTATTCATCTGTGTCTGCATGGACATTAAGGAGATGAAAATAACTGGATTCAAAGTATGTGCTTTTTATGGTTATGATGGCCATACATTCCCTAGGAGATGACTTTGTCTGCTTGTATGCATTGCTAGGGGATTTGGCTTGAAAGCAGAGGTTGTAGTTTCCAGTGACCATGGCTTTGGGAGTCATACAGTTGAGCAGTTAGTGCATGTTTTTACTTTTTGTGGGGCCTGCTGGCCGTTATGAGACTTGCAGTTCCAAATGCAGGTGGTACGATGACTACCCTTGCTGTCACACCTCAGGCTTCTTTCTGAACCCCTCCATTTCTCAGTCTGCCAGCCTAAGTTGAAACTAGTCTGTGCATTGCGTTTGTGGAGATTTTGATGTGCATTAAATACGGAGGGTCTTGACAGCCTCCAGGGACTAGGGATGCTTGGGGAAATACCAAAAGAAGAAAAGCTGGAACAGATAGCTTCTGTTTCTCTGTCGGAGTCCCCCCCGTGGAGAGCTTACTCCTCTATGCTGATTCCCCAGCCAGGCAATCTCTTGAATACCCGTGTAATTTTTTTATTGACCATCTGCCAGTGAAAGGGGATGTATTGGTGATAGATGCTTGGTGAGGGAAGCAACTGTTACCGTTCATTTCAGGGCCTCTTAAAGTCACATTGCCCGCTTTGGTGCCATTCACAGTGTGCTTGGGTTGTCTGCCCTAGCGCTAAAGGCCAAGTGTGGGTTCCCTTTTCTGCTACCCTCGCCTCCTGTTTTATTCTTTCTTCCCGTGTTCATTAGAGCTCTGAAAATGTATAGCGTGGGTCCAGAGGATTGAAATAATTGAATGTAGAGGCTGAAATGGATGGGTGGGCAGTGGTAGGCCATTCCAGTGGTTCATGTGTTCCAGACATTCTCAGAGGAAGTAAGTCGTACGCTGGGTTTTCTAAATGTGTATGTGAACCGCTTGTTAAAATGCTGCACCGTGGTGTAAGAAGTATACTGTGTCTAGAAATTATTCAAATGCCCAGTACTATCTTATTTGTTTCCTGAGCTTTTGGTGGCTTATGGACGTGTAAAATAGGTATCTGCTGCTGTCTGCAGTCATTAAGGAGCAGCAAAACCTTTTGAGAACCAGTGTTGTCAACTCTTTTTACAAATCCAGCTTTTGAAATGATAAAATTCTTAAGAATTTCAGCTTTTATTACAAAAAAAAAAAAAAAAGGTAAATCTAGTCATTATGGTCTTGGAGAAGATTTTGTAAACATGAAATCCAAAGAGGTAGGAAACCAGAGAGACTTAAAAAGGAGTGTATGATGTAATGTTTTTTAAGTTGATGTCAGAAAAGTTTCTGGAGCCATGAGCCCTGCATTTTTGAAGTTCTGAAGTTGAACGAATGGACTTGCTTTCCCTATTTACCAACTAGGGCATGGCGTAACTGCACAAATTTTATTCTAGCTAGTTTTTGACATAGACCATGCCCAAATTTCTCCTCTGTCCTCCTTTATATTATCACTGTGATATTTCTGAGCTAGCCTGACTTGGCATGTCAGAGCTCTCTCCTTACTCTCTTGTTCAGTACAGGTTTGATGATTCTGTTGCTCTTGAAAAAAAAAGCCTTATTCTGACTTTCTTGCTACCCAGCTTAATGTGGTGATAGGCAGGGAGGTTTTGAACTCTCTCGTTTAGCTGGATTCTCAAAGGGTGGCTTGTGAACATTCTTTGTAGCTCAGATAACGAAACTATTAAAAAGGTAAACAAACAGCTTTGGGATTAAGGCAGGGGAATGGTCTGTGTCTTTAGAAGCCACTTGTTTTCTGTACGGTTGACTGGGAAGTGTCTGTATGGTCTGAGGCTGCTTTCTGAATGAGTGTTTTAGCAGCTCCGCTCAATGAGTTCAGCTTCTACTGTAGGTGTTTATAAGTAGACTATAATTAATCGTAGTTTTCAAGAGCTAGCAGCTGCCTGCTTAGGTTCAATGAGAAACAAATTCCTGCCCCTGCCCAGTGGCAAATCTAATAGCCTGGGACTGGTAAAGGATGAGGGGGCAGAGAAGCACAGAGAACTGAAGGAATTTGCCCAAGGTTGTTCTGAAGATGAGCAGTAGAAACAGGCTAAGCGCCTAGGATTCTTGACCTGCAACCTAGTGCCTTTATCCTTTTACTCATGGTGCCTTCTGCTCCTGCCAGGATATAGCACTGAGATTTGGGAGACATTGCATTAAACTGTCTGGCTCCAGGAATTGCTTTTCTAGAAGTACAGCTGATCCTTGAGAAGAAGAAATGTCAGTGTTAAAAATGACACTGACTACTAACTTTGATCCAGTGAAACAGTATCTAAGAAAACTTCAACCCCAGTACTCAGTGATGACTAGCTAATTCATCACTGCTTTATTTTGTATAGTCTTTCACACGGACTGAATCCCTGTATGCGTGCTTCAGAAAGTTAAATAACAATTACACAGATAATGACAGCAGAGGGAGAAAGAAATTAGGAGACAGACACAGGCAAGAAGCCATAGCGTCTGAGGAGAACTGGGCAGTGATAGAGAGTTAATGAGCCAAAGAGATATGGGAGCAGGCTGTTTTATCAGAAGGATTTGTAGAAAAGGTTTTCATCTCAACATAAATAGAAATCAATCACGTGGTTGAGTTGCCATTTAAGGTAAACTTGAAGTAAAACCCCTCCTCACTGAGGTTTTTTAACTTTTCTTTTTTTTTTTTTTCCTTTAGTATCTCCTCATTTTCCTAGAGAGGAGGATTTCTAACTGACAGGTGGGATATGTTTGTCATCACAGGTTCCGAGTCTGCTTCTCCACGTGGCACCTTGGAGTTTCTAGCTGGCACCATTACCTCCAACGAGTGGAGTTCTCCCACCTCCCCTGAGGGGAGCAACGACTCGGGGGGCAGCGAGGCCTTGGACAAACCCATTGACAATGACGCTGAGGGTGTGTGGAGTCCGGACATTGAGCAGAGCTTCCAGGAAGCGCTAGCCATCTACCCACCATGTGGACGGCGGAAGATTATCTTGTCAGACGAAGGCAAGATGTATGGTAAGGAGAAAGAAAGGGCACGTCACAACGCAGGCCGCTTGCCGTGTACCAAATGATGTTCGGAACGAGCTCTTCTCTCTCAGGCGTTCCCAAGCAGATACAGTTGGTCGCTTATTTAGGAAAATCAGTGAAGATCTTAACATTCACAGATCAGAAGGAATTATAGATGTCTTTTTCAAGGGAGCATCAATATGGTAGATCCCAGAGTTGGGCATGCTACTGAACTAATCTTTGGATAGATATCATATAATGGCTTCATGGTGTGACTAAGTCTATCTTTTATGGTATCTCTTGCTGCTGTGTCCATCGTTCTTGTTACCCTAACAGGTAAAAAAGGTCTGCCTCTCTGGTGGTAAAGGGCAGAAGCTCAGCCCCTGAACGGCTCTGTTGATGGTGTGCAAACACCTACAGTTTGTTAACTAGCTGCACTTCTCAGATCTTAAGAAGGGTAGAAAACAGATTTCTCTGGCTGCTCCCTTTCATTGTAGTTTGCCTTCTTATAGCCCTGGCATGAGTGTCTTTCACCTGTGGGTTCTTCTCAGCTAGTTAGCTGGCTACCCAGCCCTGAATGCAGAGAAGCACTGGCTTGCAGCTGCCTGCAGAAGTCAACTTTTTAGGTGGTAGACATGATTTTGAATTGGACTTTTGACCTATTCCACAGTTAAAATTTCTCTCTTGATTTTGTTCACAAAAAAGCTGGGCTGGGCTGGATTCTGTGGCTCAGTATTGGAAGAAGCCACCAGGTACTTCTGTGACTAAAAAGCAAAGCAAAGGCTGAGAGCACACAATATTTGGTTAAAAGTCCCATGGTGTTACAACTGTTTCTCAAAGCACTAGCAAGCATCTTATGGAAGGCAGCCCTCTTCCTACCCAGTCAGTGCTTGCCTTTTTTCCCTTTACATTGGAATCCGTGTGTCTTTGCAGGCCCCATCATGGGAGCACCATGCCCTGAAGCTTCATATGGAGCACTTCACAAGTCATTCTGCAGGTTTCCATCCACTCATCGGGCCATTGTTCCCCGAGCTAGGGAAGATTGCTCTCACTGGGGGGGCGTGGGTGGGGTCTCGTTTACACAGCCTCACCTACAATGGATGGTTTTACTGGGTACATAGATCATTGTATCTGTACAGAGCAGTATATGTTGAGTAAGGCTGATCACCCTGAGGCTCAGCAAGTGTCCGTGTTCTTATGTAGACATCAATTCCTGCTCTGTGCTGGCACAAACATTTTTGGGGCTGTGCTATGCAACCAGCCAAGGAACTGATCCAGCTTAAAACTAACACAGCCAGAAAGCGGGGACAAAAGTGAACTTTAATTTGGATATGCCCCCTGATTTGTTTCACTGCACAGCTGCTTGTGCTGGTACTTAGAGAAGGGATGATGAGAGTGGGAATGAGCAGCCGTGGTTGAGGTGAGGGTAGGACTGCTTCCTTCAGAAGCAAGGCTTGCTTAAAATGTTATTCAAACTAAACTATTACTTGAAAATCCCCCCTGTGGTTATTAAGCATAGATTAGTGACATGCTCCTTGCTGCTGTTAAGTCTGCACTAGTTTTCATGACGGGTGCCTTTTAAAATTACTGGTGAAAAATTACGGTTGTGTTTTAAGACTGTCTTCGTTTACTAGTCATTCTGCACAGTCCCTGAAATACTTCAGCTTTGGAATGAATCTGTCAGACCAGAGAGTGAAATGGACCAGAAAAGAAGTAGGAGCGAGAGCGAAAGTAAAAGGGAAGTAGAATGCACCACAGCAACCAAGGAGACTTACCTGGGGCCTGACCTAGCATGGACTGGCGTTTAGTGGAAAGTCTCTAGTGAGCTGCGGCAGGTAAACACCCCCCTTGCAGGGTGAAAAGTTTAGGCAAGGCTGTGGGAGAAGAACCGGAGAGCTTTTCTGCAAGCCCTCCCCCCCTACTCGAAAGGGGACGGTGTCCCTGCTTGCCTTCGGTGCACCTGTTCCCAGCGCGGCCGGTGGGTTCCATGTGCCCCCGACAGAACCCGAGGCACTGAGCTGTGCCCTCCTTTGCTTACTAGTCTCCAGGACCCATGCCAAGGAAGCGGAGCCCAGCCTGGGATCTATAGAAAGAAATGACCGGGCAGGGAGAATATATATAGTCCCTGATTTCATCTTCACCGCTGACGAGCCAGCTGACAGAAGGAGACAAGCTGTGGAGCTGGCCCTGCCTCCGAGGGACGGGGGTTCGGCTGTCCCGTGGCTGGCTTGCAGAGAGCTCGCTGAACCCAGGGGCGAGGTGGTCGGGAGAACTGGCTGTGCCCCTTTCCCCTGACAAAAGGGGAACCTTTTCACTGTTTCCCACTGAGGAGCGCCTCGTGTGGTACTACTCTGCTGGGCATGGTGTTCCAGGTCCCAGCATCTCTTCTATGGGCAACTTTATGTACTTCTCACCTGTGGTGAGGCAACCTGTTACCAGTTTCGAGTTAGTAGCTTTTACCGGCAAACATGTTGAACAAGCTAAAGTGCACCAAGCCAATATGAAGCACTTGCACTGTTTTGTTTGAATACATTTAAAATGACACAGAAAGGTGTGTTTCAGCCTATGCACAGGCCTCGTGCCCATGTTCCCTAGCCTCTTCAGAGTCAGCTTGCTGCTTACAGCTCTTTAGATGACCCTCTACTGATTGCTGAGTGGACGCGATTCCTACTTCACCTGAAAGTCAGCCAAGCTCTTCTCTGTACGTTGACAATCTGTGTCTTGATGCCTTTGCTGCCTTCTTTTCTTCCATTATCTTTTTCCCTCCTAGATGTGTTCCATTACTGGAGGCACATCCTGACTGAATCAGCTCATACCACAGCAATGCTCCAGGTACAAGCCCTCTCCAGCAGTCTCTGCTTACCACCTGCTTAAGGCACAAAAAGCTGTCTTGTCTGATAGGGGATGCTACCTTTTCTCCTAATCATTGTGTTGACATTAGAAGCAGCAAGTCTGGGGCACCACTAACTTACTGATCTGGTGCCTTCTGGTACCACTAAGGTCCTGCAGGATAATCTTATAAGTGTTGCCTGCTAGAATATTGTAGGGGTACAGTATTACAGATCTGTCTTTTACATTTTCCAACTATGTTTTTCTATGCCAGAAATAATATCTGTAGCATTTGTACCAAATAAGCAATCACAGTGTTAGGGTCAGTATCTCCTGGCATCTTCAGGACTGGCCTAGAGAAAGGAGAGGGAAAAAGCTTAGTACCTTTGTGTGACTGGCATGGAGATGCTAAATAGAGCAGGTCTCCCAACACTACTGAGGACAGAGAAATAAAAAATAGTAACTAGCAAAGTGATACTTATTTTGAAAAAACACTGCTGGGGCTTTGATTTACAAGTGAGGATGTAAGAACTTGGAAGAAATGAGCTACTGCCTTAGCCATCCAGTGTTCCCTTCTGCTGCATAAACATCTGGCTTGGAGCACCTTTTTGTAAGAGGAGCTAGAATTGGTGGCTGTTTGTTAGACTGCTGTTCTGTAGGAGGCAGTAGTTTAGCAGCTGATTTACAAACAGCTCAGTGTCGTGGTTTAACCCCAGCCAGAAACTAAGCACTGTGCAGCCGCTCACTCACTCCCCCCAGCAACCAGTGGGATGGGGGAGAGAATTGGGGGGAGGGGAGAGTAAAACTCGTGGGTTGAGATAAGAACAGTTTAATAGGACAGAAAAGAAGAAGCTAATAATGATAATAACAACAATAATAAAATGACTATAATAAAAGAATTGGAATATACAAAACAAGTGAAGCACAATGCAATTGCTCGCCACTCGCCGATCAATGCCCAGTTAGTTCCTGAGCAGCGATCCCCCCACCTCAAGGCCAACTTCCCCCAGTTTATATACTGGGCATGGCATCACATGGTATGGAATACCCCTTTGGCCAGTTTGGGTCAGGTGCCCTGGCTGTGTCCCCTCCCAGTTTCTTGTGCCCCTCCAGCCTTCTTGCTGGCTGGGCATCAGAAGCTGAAAGGTCCTTGACTTGGTATAAACACTCCTTAGCGACAACTGAAAACATCAGTGTGTTATCAACATTCTTCTCATACCGAACTCAAAACATAGCACTGTACTAGCTACTAGGAAGAAAATTAACTATCCCAGCTGAAAGCAGGACACTCAGGCTTTTCTGTGCTGAGCAGGGTGAGGCAGACAGCTGGGGCCGTCATCGATCTCCCAGGCTGGTGCCATCAGCTTGTGAGTCAAAGCCCTGATATGGCTGATAGGAAATACTCAAAGATGTCTGAAGCTCAGAGGCTGAGTGATAGAAGAAGGATAGTTAGCCATGTTACTAGTTAAAACCTGGAGCAGGCAGTGAACTGCAAAGTCTTGAGCTTGCAACATGAATTAAGCTGGCAGAAAAGGTCAGTCTGATGCCAAAAACTACCATGTCACAGCTGGTCCCTCCCACCCCTGTTCTGAAGTGACTAGGTGAATTTGCCAGGATATTGCCTTGATCTCAAAGGGATATGTTATCAGTTAATATTTTCCCTGACCTCGAAAAGTCACTAGAAGTAAAACTGAACAAATAAACCTAAAGACGCACAAAACATACACTGCCTGTCCCAGCTCATGAACACTTCTTCTCCTTGAGGGGAGGGAGGACCATGGCAGCTATTACAAATATGAGAACCTTCAAGGTGTCAGTCTTCAGATGCTTTCTTCTATATCTAGTTTAGCATCTCACCTGATGATGTTTCAGGCAAAGCAATTGGAACATGCTGAGAATGTGCTCGGTTGACACTGAGCTGGCTGGTCCAGGTAATTGCAAAATTTGGATTTCAACTGTGATATCCCTCAGAGAGATACTTCTGCAGTTCCTATCCCTTCCATTATTGTGACTTAGTGAACCATAGAACAGCCCTTTATCCCACAGTTTTGATAACAAAATTGAATCTCCCATTGTAAACACTAGAAGACAGACAAAACTTAGATTCATGGACAATCGGTCAGGATGCAGGCTTTTCCCTCCTCTCTCTTCTTGGTGGTAGGTGTGATGTTTTTGGAGTG